CGGTCCTCTCAGATATCCACTTTCCCACGGGGCCCCTTTTCGGTGTGCTCTGCATGTAGGTAGTGGGGCTTTTGTCCTGTGTGTAGGATTCTCTCAAGCACTCAGGTTCTCAAACTTATCAGGTCTTACATAAGTTTGTTTGATCCATGGGGAGACTTGGTTGGAAAAAGAAGAGAATGGCATAAGAAAATGACAGTAGTCCTCATGGGTGAAGGTGTCCATACAGACAGTGGAAAATGGCTTCATTTCAGTCAGCAGCTCACTAGGACCAGTAGGACAGATGAGTTTGGATAATGAGGACATTTCAATACCTCCATGAGGATACCTAGGGACATAGGTGGCCCTTGAGAGTAGAATGGCCTTCAGAGGAGGACAGAGGGTCCTTGTTATTTTGGATGCTCAGTTACCCAGAATGATGAAAATGGGAATTATTGAATGGGGGAAAAAAATGTCAAATGGGAACATAAGCTACCAATACATTGGCAACAGAATGGAACAAAAGTCCTTCAGTTCAGTCATAGTGATTTAGGCTAGACTGATGAAGCAATTGGTCTGAATAGTGACGACAGGGTATTTTGCCTGTGAACTTGTTCCAGACTCTACTAACTCAGGTCATACTCAATCATCCTACCCTGAGCTCCCCTCAGGCCTCCCATGAGGCACAGAAACTGCCATGTTGTATGTTACTTTGCTGGACATATATTCATCTTCCCATTAAAGTCTGACCTTCTGTTCCCCTAGTTGAGCAAGGAGGTGAAGATTTTGCTTAGTTCCTCTCAATGTCTCCTTTTCAAAAAGTGCATCACAGTGAAATACCACTGGCCCTGAAGGCAAGGCTTCTGGATTTGAGTTTTGAAGCTCCATCTTGGTTTCTAACTAGAGGTGTGGGACACAGAACAAGGGCCATCTTTGAATCTTGGATGCTCCTCTGGTCGATGATCTGTAGTTGCCAAACTTCACTACATAGCAGACTTGATTGGAAAAGTGATTTTAAAAATTCAAATTCTTAGCTTAAGAGTTCCCAATACGGGGGCACCTGGGTGGCTCAGTCAGTTAAGCGTCCAACTTCAGCTCAGGTCATGATCTCACAGTTTGTGAGTTCGAGCCCTGCATTGGGCTCTGTGCTGACAGCTCAGAGCCTAGAGCCTGCTTTGGATTCTGTGTCTCCCTCTCTGTCCCTTTCTCTCTCTCTCTCTCTCAAAAGTAAGTAAACATTAAAGAAAAAATTAAGAGTTCCCAATATGAAAGCATTAAAGTGAGGACAGACCTCTGAATATTCAAAAATATTCTAGGTAACTAGAATCAGTGTGGTTCTGGAAACATCGCCTTACATTATCTCCAAGGGCACTTCTAGCTGTAATTTTTTCATGCTCTCACAATTCGAGTGTGACGCTTACACTTAGTTTTATGGTTGAATGACACAGCTGGGGCATGCGTGTGCACGTGTCTGCATGCATGCACACATATGCAGCAGGAAACACGGAACTACTCCTCATCCCGTGCAAAACCCAATCCCCAAATTCTAGGTAACTGAGAACAATGTCAGTGAAAAGACAGGGGTGAAGAAACGTCACAACACATTTGCACATATTAGTGAGTAATCTATGTAGATTTACGTAATGAGTAAATTGGGTGATTTGTGAGGGAACCTAAGTGCTCCTGAGGAAGCTGTGTTTAGCCCGAGTGTCTGGGTAAATGGTAGCAATATTTACCAAGACCTAGAATAGTGAATGAAGATCAGTTTGGGGAAGAAAGTGATAAATTGCAACGAAAACAAGTTCCTTTCGGGTGCCTACCAGAAATCCAGTTGGGGAAGACCAATGCCCTAAAAAACTTTAGCAAGATGTTAGAGTTTGAAATATAGTGTAGGATTTTTGTCAGACAAGGCCCATTCGGGACAACAGAAATCATACTGGATATTCAAAACAGGGAATTTAATGCAGGAAATTGGTTACACAGGTGGTGGGTGGCTGAAAAGGCACAGAGATTAACAACTACAGGCCCAGAGGAGCAGAAGGGAAAGGGGTTATAAGGAGCAGGAGCTGGAAACCCTGCGGTAAGCAGCCTACAGCTGGAGACCAGATGTGTGAGTATGGGACACCTACATCTGAGCTGGTGCTCAGACCTCTTAAGTGGGGAGCAGCACGTGGGTGTGGCTTAAGACTTGAGGAAGGAGGGCTCCGCGATTGGGGCTCAGACAAACAGGGTGGAGGCAACCTGTAGCCAGGGTTCACACTTCTGAGAAGGAGACATAGCCAAACAGGGGCGTGGAGAGCCAGGGTACACGGCAAAGCCAGTCGTGGCTCAACTGGTCTTCTTAACTACCAAGGGGACAGCCCCTGGGTGCTGCTGGTCCTTTCAGGAGATCTTGCCGGGCTGCTGAGAAAGCCGAAAGAAGCGGGCACCTGGAGCCAACCATCTGCTGCTGTTGGGGTGCAGGTGGCTGGAGCAGGAAATGGAAGCAGGTGTCTTCACCTTTCGCCTTCATTTCCCGTCTACTGCCAATGCACTGACAGGAAGCCAGCTGGCCACGGGGTCTGGCAGATGCAGCGTGCAGGGTGTCCACACACTGCCCTAGAGTGCAACACAGAAGAGGGGCTTGGAGCCCGGAAATGCCGGTAAGCAGACGGTGCCGTGGCAGTAGGTGAGACCTTGAACCGCGGGAGCATGTGGGGTTATTTAGAGAGAACGTATAACAAGGTGGATGAAACCAGGGAGCGTGCAAGCCCAGCAAAGAGGGAACAAAGGAGAGCCAGGGACGAAGAGAAAGGAAATAGCCGAACGCTTAGGTCCTCATGGGCAGAGGAGACAGAAATGAAGGAGACAGACCTCATTGTGAAATGTTTGTGAAAGAACCCAGATTGAATGAATGCTGGCCGTGGGTCACTGGGGTTGGCCCTGGAATCTTTACTAAGAGGACAGTGGCCAGGACGTGTCTGAGAGGTCACTGGCTCCTTATTATGAGAAATCCCAGCGGCATGAAGATGGCAGAGGACATTCCTGTAAGTTGAGAAGCAAAGAGGGAGACCATATGCACACTACAGTTCATTTTGCAAGGAAAGGGAGCAAAAGGGAAGGAAAGGGGGAAGAGATCTAAGTACATTTAGGTTCCGAAAGGCAGTTAGTTTTGTTTTGTTTTTTTTTTTAATTTTTTTTTTAACGTTTATTTTTTGGGGACAGAGAGAGACAGAGCATGAACGGGGGAGGGGCAGAGAGAGAGGGAGACACAGAATCGGAAACAGGCTCCAGGCTCTGAGCCATCAGCCCAGAGCCCGACGCGGGGCTCGAACTCCCGGACCGCGAGATCGTGACCTGGCTGAAGTCGGACGCTTAACCGACTGCGCCACCCAGGCGCCCCTGAAAGGCAGTTAGTTTTATCTGAGACCGTGGGAAAGAATTTTGGGGAAAAGCCCAGGACCTGAGCAAGTTCCTCTGATTACAACAGACAGCTTTATCTGCCCGCTCGTCTCTTACGTAGCTTTCAGATCAAAAAAAATTCAGCCGATTAACCATAAAGGTATGTAGCAGCACCAGAACACTTTTTTTAAAAACACATTTTTATTTCTTATTTTACAGCTTTTTACAAATTGTCTTGTCCCAGGACATCGTGTTTTATTTTGCTCTCTTATTTGCGTCTCTGCAGGAAGCAGGCCTTCATCGAATAGGTAAGAAAACTCTCCAGAGCAGAGCTGAGGGGATTTGTTTCTTCTCTTCTGGAAGGGTGTGCTGTAAATCTGTGATGAAAACAGCCTGTGAACTGTATCTTTCTCTGCCCGAAAGCGGGGACTCCAAATTTTGGCAAATCAGGGCAGAGGCAAACCTCAGTTTACCATTACCATCAGCCCCAAAAGCAAAGATCTCAGGGTCACAGAAGGAATTTTGCAAAGTGTCTAATTTTTCTGCAGCTGATTTCAGCTGCTTCCTCCACCAGCTGCTCACTGAGCTGCTAAAAGGTGTTCCAGCCGGGGCGCCTGGGTAGCTCAGTGGGTTGAGCGTCCGACTTCAGCTCAGGTCATGATCTCACAGTTGGTGGGTTCGAGCGCCGCGTCAGGCTCTGTACTGACAGCTCAGAGCCTAGAGCCTGCTTCAGATTCTGTGTCTCCCTCTCTCTCTGACCCTCCTCTGCTCATGCATGCACATGTGCTCGCTCTCTCTCTCAAGAATAAACATTTTTAAAAAGTTAAAAAAAAAAAAAGATTTAAAAGCTGTTTCAGCCATAGGCTTCTGTCCTCATCTGGCACACCATTTTGTACACCTGCTAAGAACACAGGACCAAAAAGCCAAAGTCTAGATATGGCTATAACTAACCTAGTACCTGTGGGATCTTCCTGGGCCTTTACCTCCTCATCTGTAATAAGAGCGTTGAATTAGATTATCTCTAGGCACCTGGGACTTGAATAGGCCACGACGGGATCAATTCTCGCGGCAAGTGGCCAGAAGGAAGATGCTACCCAAACTTTGGCCAACCTGAACTTTGACACGGGCCAGTTTCTTTGGGTCACTTCATGTCCCAGATTGGACAGAGTGTGGAGGACATTCTAGCAACTCTTACTGTGAAGGAGACAGAGGGGTACTTGTCAGCAGTGCTGCGAAGGCAGCCATAAGTGGTGTCCAGCAGGTGGTCTATTCACTAGGTGGTTGACTCTTCTTATAGCACGGATCCCAGAGTCTGAACAGCAAAAGCCAGGGTCACACATGTGTCTGAAGCCAGGACTGTCACTTCAGAACCCATCTGAACCATGGTCCCACCTTTCCATTCTATCTGTTTTACCTGTTCATTCACTCCCTCACTGACTTCATCAGTCAATAAAATAGTGAATGGGCCCTATGCCAGCAAGTGGGGGTGCAAAGGTGAACAAGACTCAGTGCCTTCCCTCAGGAAGCTCAGGGCCTAGGGCGGGCATTTCCCTGCAGTGTCAGAAGCAGGACTGATGGCTTCATTCAAAGAATGCAAACTTTAGAGGGCAAGAGAGAAAACCCAGAGCTTTGCCGCACGGAGCTCACAGCCAGAGTATCTTCGCCTCTCTTTTTTTGCAGCTGCGGCTTGGCTTGTACTTGTTCTTCCTTTTTCTTCAACAGAGTGGTGTCAGTTCAGTTCTACAGCCCCCAATCTTAACCTCAAAGGAAAGGCACTCGGCTTCACGGTGACCGTCCGGTTTCAGACAACGTGGCTCTCTGTGCATCCCTCCGCTAGCTAAGTGAAGAAAGCAAGACTTCAGTTATCCAGGAATTTGTGACCAGAAAGCAACATGACATCACCTGGGCCTCACCCACAATTCCCCATTAGTGAATCTCCTGCAGACACAAAGTATAAATCTAGAGGTCAGCAAAAACAGATGCCTCCTGAACGGCTTCATTGGAGTTCAAACTCGCTGCACAATACACACAGGGTCCTTACTTGATATTCACTTCCCTCTGCCACAATCATTTCTAGGATATCTAGAAGCAGAGTATTTCTTCCGGGGAGGGAGACAGTACACTTTATAATCCCAATAAACAGTCCTTTCCAATAAATGATCTTTTTTCATGTCTCCAAAATCAATAGGCTCCGATATACAGTGAAAGGTAAAGACTGTGCTGTTTACACTGTAGGCAGACTGATGAGAGACCAAATGCAGTGTTGTGCGGTTGTGGACAATTTTAGGTGCAAAGTTAAAGAAACATGGTGCTGGTCCACACTGTAAAAAACATCAGTGGAATAATGGATTTAACTCTGGCAGGCAAATTTAGAGTGGCCTCAGCCGTGGCTTTTCCTTCGGAGCAAAGAGTAAGCTGAGGAGAGTAAAAATATTTTGAGAGGAATGAATGAAAAAATTTCTTGTGGTGTGGGTTCTCAGGAGAAGTGATAGAAGGAACTGGCAGTTGCTCTCAAAAGGAACTTATTCTTGGAAAGTACAGCATTGGGAGAGGGGGAACAGACTACACATTAGCTGCCATACAACTGAGATACTGCCATGCGGAAGAGACACTGACACCATGCCCAGTGAGGATGCAGACCAATGGAAAGGAATTGCACGGCCTTAGATTTCTGCTCACAGTTAGAGGAAATTTTTTCAATAGTCCCATGCTGAACCGGGAATAGTCTGAGTTACAGAACAACTGAAATTCATCACGCTTCTGGGCAATCAACTAACATGGAATACGTATCAGGGCAGATCATAAGAACAGGAATGATGATAAGAACAGTGACATCAAGGGGCGCCTGGGTGGCGCAGTCGGTTAAGCGTCCGACTTCAGCCAGGTCATGATCTCGCGGTCCGTGAGTTCGAGCCCTGCGTCAGGCTCTGGGCTGATGGCTCAGAGCCTGGAGCCTGTTTCCGATTCTGTGTCTCCCTCTCTCTCTGCCCCTCCCCCATTCATGCTCTGTCTCTCTCTGTCCCAAAAATAAATAAACGTTGAAAAAAAAATTTTTTTTTTAAATAATAAAAAGAACAGTGACATCAAAACAATAGCAACAGTGAACTTTCTCAGAGAACAGAGGGCGTGCCTGGCTTTGTTTAAGCGGTTTATACGGAGGGACTGTTAAACTTTCCTCAAGCAGTTAGTTTTCTCCTTCAGACAATGAGTAATGGATCCTCTGGTTTTTAGCCGGACACGTGGATACTTAGCATAAGGAGTCAGCTCCTGGCCCTGTGTCCCTGTATGGCCACATGGATGAGTTTGGACCAATGGCTGGTTCTGTGCAATGTCTTTGACCATGCTCTTGACTTGCTTTTCAGCCCTTTCCATTAGAACATCTTTAGAACCAGATAAAACAGTCCCATGTTTAGGATGCAAGGTTGACCTTCCTCTCTGGTCTCAAAATGACTTAATAGAGAAGAACCTTCCTTCTACCCATACTGGTCAACTTACCTATTTTTGGACTTTTACATGAGAAACAAATAAACTATCCTTTTTCATTTACTATCTTTTTAAGTTTCTTTGTTAAAACAAGTTAGCCTCTACTCGAATATAACAAATGTCTTAATATTTTATATATTTAAATATATTTTAAATGTTTATTTATTTATTGGGGGGGGGAGGACAGAGAGCAAGCAGGGAGGGGTTGAGAGAGAGGGAGGGAGAGAATCCCAAGCAGGCTCTGCACTGTCAGCGCAGAGCCTGACATAGGACTTAAACCTAAGAACCATGAGATCATTACCTGAGCCAAGACCAAGAGTTGGACACTCAACCAACTTAGCCACCCAGGTGCCTTGAAAAATGCCTTAATCTTTAAAACCATCCTATTGTTATTACCATTTATAGAAAGAAAATTGAAGCACAAGAGTTCATACAGTTTATAAGGATTGGAACTGAGATCCAACCTCCAATGTCTTGGCGTGATAGTCTGTTGTTACCTCTTGTATTGACCATTGAACTCACATCCAGCTCTAAGATTCTGTGTAGTTGTGATGGTGGTGGTGGTGGTCCCAACTGGAGCCCATCCGGTGCTTATTGTTAGGATTCAAATGTGTCTGAGCTGAATCTGAAGACAGGGAGCCTAACATGTGTTTTTCTACTTGGATCCATTGTCTGACCTCTGAAGAAAGAGAGTGGGGCAGAAGCTAAGTAAGTGATTTGATTGAGACTTTGAAACATGAGGGCATGTTTTTATGCCTGTTTTCAAAGTGCAATGTAAATACCACATCCCAGAAAGCCCCTCCTGTATCTCCAGTTAGAAAACCAAGCTTCTCTTTGTCATCTGTATCTCTTATGGCACTTATGAGAACTGTTTTGTACTATAGCTATTTGTGTATCTTCCTGTCTCATCCATTCACCTATTTACACATTTGAAATTTATCAAATCGCCTATTTATTATTCTGGACAACCTACTTTTGACCAACACAGAAATAATAAAATAATAAACTTCAAGCAAATTAAGGGTGAAGACCATGCTCTATTACATTTTTGATCTCCATTTTACTTACTTTTGATATAATGCCCAAACAATTTCTCATTAAGTGGTAGGAACACCTTTCATATCTATTGGTTTGGTAGGCTTACTGAGGCCTGATTGTGTAATAGTTAAGTGTAGAAATCCAGGAACCATGAAGAATAGTGTTTCACAATACATAGGGAGTCCCCATTAGAAATGACTTCATAACAGGAGGAATGAAAGACAGTTGAGAAAGGATGGATATAAACATTTTTTAGGGAGAGTCTTGGCTGTACGTGAGCAAAAAGAAACTATTTCAAAGGTGTCAAAGATTGAAAAGCAAACTAATCAAGATGCTACTTGTTTAAATGATATAATTTCTCACATCAGTATGTGAGAACTAGAAAGAAATTCTAAATAATCTAAGATTAGGAGATTTGGACCAACTAGTAAGACATAAAAAAACAGACTAAGAACCTTTTGAGTTTAGTTTCATTTAGGTTACAAAAGCTATACTTCTCTAAATTAACAAATGTGTTTGGACTTTGCCTCTGAAATTTCCTCTCATTTTAGAGCAATCACTTTGACATATGCTAAAGCTGTGCTGAATATTACAGAAGAAGGAAAGATCTAAACATAAAGAGAAGTCTGAAACCCCTTGGTGGAGCTTTTAGGGAAATTAACCAGATACTTCTCTGTTTGGAGTTAGTCTGGCTCTGTGTGGTCCCATTGTTTTTTGTCTAAACTCAAGAAAAGATTTCCAGGGGTGCCTGAATGGTTCAGTCAGTTAAGCGTCTGCCTCTAGATTTCGGCTCAGGTCGTAATCCCAGGGTCATATGATCGAGCCCCGCCTCAGGCTCCATGCCGAGCATGTAGCCTGCTTACACTGTTGGTGGGAAAGCAACCTGGTGCAGTCGCTCTGGAAAACAGTGTGGAGGTTCCTCAAAAAATTAAAAATAGACCTACCCTACGACCCAGCAATAGCACTGCTAGGAATTTACCCAAGGGATACAGGAGTACTGATGCATAGGGGCACTTGTACCCCAATGTTTATAGCAGTGCTTTCAACAATAGCCAAACTATGGAAAGAGCCTAAATGTCCATCAACTGATGAATGGATAAAGAAGATGTGGTTTATATACACAAGGGAATACTACTTGGCAATGAGAAAGAATGAAATCCTGTCATTTGCAGCAACGTGGATGGAACTGGAGGGTATTATGCGAAGTGAAATAAGTCAGTCTGAGAAACACAGATAACATATGTTTCCACTCATATGTGGAACTTGAGAAACGTAACAGAAGACCATTGGGGAAGGGAAGGGGAAAAAGTAGTTTCAAACAGAGAGGGAGGCAAACCATAAGAGACTCTTAAATACAGAGAACAAACTGAGGGTTGATGGGGGGGATGGAGGAGGGGGGAAGGGGAAAATGCATGATGGGCATTGAGGAAGGCACTTGTTGGGATGAGCACTGGGTGTTGTATGTAAGTAATGAATCACAGGAATCTACCCCCAAAGCCAAGAGCACACTGTATACATTGTATGCTAGCTAACTTGACAATAAATTATATTTAAAAGAAAAAAAAAAGATTCTCTCTCTCTCTCCCTCTGCCCCTCTCCCCTACACTCTCTCTCTCTCTCAAATAAAATAAAATAAAATAAAATAAAATAAAATAAAAATAAGAAATAAAATGAAAGATTTCCAATAACTGGTTTGTCCCGGGACCTTTTAAGAATACAGGAATGAGTCATACATATTTCTAAACCCTCAGCTTTCTTCTTAAAAGACGGATTGCCACCCTTACATCTATTAGGATTTCCTTTCACCTGAGAAAATGCCAGCAAGGAGAATGAGAGCAGCAAAAATTAAGAAAAAGATTCTCATGGCTCCAGACATCAGTGGAGAGAGGACAAAGGAGGGACAGTTGGTAAAATCCAGCTCTTTTACCAAGAGAAGTTGATTAAACCAGGTTCTACAGCTCCGAAAGGGCTGGAAGTCAACTTTGGTTTGTAATGTTCATTAGGAAGAAACTATTTTTCATGCTCTACTGAATAGCGTGTGGGCCTCTGGGTCAGGTATTACCTAAATGAGGTTTACAGGAGAGTAAAGCAAACAACCTGTCCTCCAGCCCGGATCCCTCCAGCCTATGTCTCTGCCTAGATGTCTCTTTTTTCCCTCAAGCCCCATCTCGGGGACCTTCCCTTCCAGAAGATCTATAGTCCCCATTCCTTTTCTTCTTCTCTAAGATATTACACACAACTTACTCTCTTATAAGAGGACCTAGCCGTTATTAATGGGTGCCTGGTATAATTGCTTTTCCAAAATTATAGTATATGAAAATTTTTTTATCTGGCCAATTCAACTATAAACTCCACAGATGAAAACCACTCTCCCTCCATCCTTTCCTTTCCATTCACTCTTCATGAGAGAGCTTTGTAGCAGTAGATATTCAAAATATATGTTCTTTGACTTATTAATAGCTGCCTAGTTAGAAGAACTCATGAATAGTCAACTAATTAATGTAGATATTATCAAATGTTCAAAGTTTTTCATCTTAAGATGATGATGATGATGATTTTAAGTAGGCCTCATACCCAACATGGAGCCCAACATGGGGCAGAAATCAAGACCTGAACTGAGATCAAGAGTCAGATACTTAACCAACTAAGCCACCCAGGGAACCCTGTAAGATATTATTAAGGATAAGGGCATTATGATTAAATATGACCATATCTCATATGTTATGGGAATAGCTTTCATTCAACAAATACGGGTTGGAGAACTACCAGGTGTATTTATATGTTACTAAAAAATTTGAACTTTATCCTAAAATCAAAGGAAAGTTATTGAAGGATTTTAGGTAGGGGAGTTACTTGAAAGATTAAAACTCGAATGAGTAATTCCATTTTGAATAAAGCAGAGTGAGCTTCTAACAGGTGGACCCTCCCACCGATAACAAGTAAAACTCGGGGGGAACAAAACAAAACGAAATAAACCCACAAAAAAACTACCCAAAGAATATGAAAGTTGAAATAAATACAGGCATATTTTGGATAAAAGTCAAAAGTTGGAAATATGAAACAGCCCAGAGTATGTTCTCTCTGACTGCAGGGTGGCATGGAGAGGCTAAAACAAAACAAACAAGATATCCACCCTCTTTCTAAACTTAGAACACAAAGATAGAGCTAAGGGAGAAGCACCACAGCTTCTGGAAATGAAAACCCAGAAAAGGGAGTTTAGGTTCTATATGTGAACTCTGCCCATAACTCTTGCTAACCCCTGAACCACGCATTCACCTTGTTAAGATAAAATGAAACAAACACGCAAACACCCCTGAGATTTGAGCCGCTGCCCATTACAGATGAGGTGATATTTGCAAATTGAGTTTAATAGAGTCGCTTTCCTGTCAAATCAAAACATCAGCATTCTTCAGAAGATGTACCAGTCTTCAGATCCTTTTCAGCACAACATTCACAGCGTCCTGGACATCAATCTTGTTGAAATAATCAGACAAGACCTTAATATATCCATTTTAACACACTCGAAGTAGTAAAGAAAACACACATGCAATCAATTTGAACTCAGGAAGTCTCATTAGAGAACAGAAAATATATTAAAAAATTTGATACTAAAAAATACAATATCTGAACAAAATTAACTGAATAGATTTGATAGCACCGAAAATATGACAGGATCAAGAGTCACTGAATCAATAAAAACTATGCAATCTGTAGATCAGAGAGAAAAAAAGATTGAGAGAAATAGGCCTTCAAGGGTCTGATGGATAACATCAAAATCTAAAGCAGACAGGTCATTGGAGTCCCAGAATGAGGAGAGAACCATAATGGGGTAAAACGTAGTTCAAGGAAATAATGGCTGAAAATCCCCAAATGCGGTGAAAGACACAAAATGACAAAACCAGGAAGCTCAGCGAATTGCAAGGAACATAAAAACCATGCTTAGGCACAACACAGTCAAACTTCTGAAATCCAAAAAAAGGGAGAGAATCGTGAAAGCATCCAGAGAAAAGTAACACGAGTTCAGGGAAACCGCAATTGAGTTACCATCAGCTTCTCCTCAGAAACGAAAGAGGTAAGTAAGGTGGGGGGGCGGGGGGCACACCCTGCTGTGCTGAAGGAAAACAAGCAGAAGCTGCCTGCCCCAAATTCCACCTGCAGGAAGAACTCCTTTAAAAGGGGAAGATAGAATAAACATATTTTCAGGGCGAAGAAAACTGAAAGTTTTCTCTACCAGAGATTCCCTAAAGGAAGTTCTTCAGGCTGAAGGTAAATGCAAGAAGGAAACTTGATTTCCAAGGAGAATAAAAAACATCAGAAATGATAAATATCAGAGGTGCCTGGGTGGTTCAGTCGGTGAAGCAGCTGACTCTTGATTCAGCTCAGGTCATGATTTCATGGTTTGTGAGTTCGAGCCCCGCGCTGAGCTCTGTGCTGACAGCTCGGAGCCTAGAGCCTGCTTTGGATTCTGTCTTCCTCTCTGTCTGCCCCTCCCCTGCTCACACTCTGTCTCTGTCTCTCTCTCTCTCTCAAAAATAAATAAACATTAAAAATTTTTTTTAATAAAAATAAATTGGAAGTTTATAACAATAACCCATTTAGGAAATTTCCTAATATTTGAAAATAAAAAAAAACATAATTCTAAATTATGTATGCATCAAAGAATAAATTAGAAAACATTTCACATTGCACATAAAGAAATACCAATATATCTGAGTGCCTGGGTGGCTCAGTTGGTTAAGTGTCTGGCTCTTGATTTCAGCTCAAATCATGATCTCATAGTTCGTGAGTTCCCCACCCACATCTGGCTCTGCACTGGCAGTGTGGAGCCTGCTTGGGATTCTCTCTCTCTCCCTCTCTCTCTGCCCTTCCTCCACTCATACACTCTCTCTCTCAAAATAAATAAACTAAAAGAAAAAAACCCAAAAAACAATATGTCAAGTTTTGTGGGACCCAGCAAAAGAATCACAGAAATTTGTGTCCAAATGCTTATTTTAAACAATGAAAAATGTCTACACTTATGACTTAAAATTTCATTTAAAAATTTTTAAAAATGGAGAACAAGGGGAGCCCAAGTACATAGAATGAATGAAAGAGCAAATCCTATAGACATTAAAATGTTTGGAACAGATCCAAGGGAACAGGGTACCCTTCGAGGGACTAGTCAGCTCTTGAAGTTTTAGCTTCCTAAATTGGAAGATTCGTTCACTGATTTGGGATCTTTCCTCTTTTTAAATGGAGACATTTGCAACTATAAATTTTCCTCTAAGCATTCCTTTAGCTGCATCCCCTAAGTCTTGTTTTGCTTTGTTTTCAATTTTCATTCACCTAATATTTTCTAATTTCTCTTTCGATTTCTTCTTTGACCCATTGCTGATCTAGGAGCATGTTGTTCATTTCCACATCTTTGTGACTTTCCCAAGTTTTCTCTTGTTATTCCTTTTTGGTCAGAGAGTATACTTGGTATGATTTCGATCCTTTGAAATCATTGAGGCTGGATTTTTGGCTTACCATATGGCCTATTCTGCAGATATTTTGGGAGAACGTCTACAGAACGTCTCATGGGACCTTGAGAAGAATGTGTATTTTGCTGTTGTTGGGTGGAGTGTGCCATAGATGTCCAACTGGTTCACAGTGTCTTCAGATCTATTTCCTTATTAAATATTAAAGTCCTCCAATATTTTTGTTGAATTATCGGTTTCTCCCTGCGATGTGTCAGTTCTCAGTTCGTGTATTTTGTGACTCCTGTGAGGTTTATATACACTTATAATTGTCATGTTGACTCATGAGGCTTTGACTCATCTACCATTGTACAAAGTTCTCTTGCCTTTGGCTATATCTTTTTCCATCCGTTTTGATCTCTTTAGTTCCTTGAATCTAAACTGTGTCTCTGGCACACAGCATAAAGTTGCATCTTCTTTACATACTCCATTCTGCTAGGTTCTAACTGGAGTGTTTAGCCCATTTGCATTTAATGCCATAATTGATGAGGTAAGATTTACATCTGCCATTTGCTATTTGTTTTCTAAACGTTATGCCTCTTTCCCCCTTCTGTTCCTGCATTACTGACTACTTTTGTGTTAAACAGATATTTCCTGAGGTACCATTTGAATTCCCTGTCATTTATCTTGCAATCCATGTTTGAGTAATCTTATAAATGACTTGGGGGTTGCAATTAATTTTAAACAATCTAGTTTGTTTACAACCACCCACCGCCTGGGTGGTTCAGTTGGTTAAGTGTCTGACTTCAGCTCAGGTCATGATCTCTGGGTTCATGGGTTGGAGTCCCACGTCGGGCTCTCTGCTCAGAGCCTGGAGCCTGCTTGGATTCTGTGTCTCCCTCTCTTCCCCTACCCTGCTCACTCTCTCTCTCTTTTAAACATAAATAAACTTTAAACAATCTAGTTTGGATCAATACTAATTTGATTCCAATGGTGAACAAAAACGTTATTCTGTGAAGCTTGGTTTTCTCCCCCTTTCTTTTGTTCTGATTAGAAAGAAATTGGAATTTTGAAGGATGAGAGCCTCTCACTGGCCTTGAAGGAGAAACTGCTGTTCTATGGGAAGAGCCATTGGGCAGGAAAAAGAAGGCAGCCTCGGCTCACTCAGGACAGCCCGATGCTGACAGCCTGCAAGACAACAGCCACCCACCCCAGGCCTAGGACCCCAAGTGACAGAATTTTCCCAGCAGCCCCAGGAGTGTGCGAGTAGATCTCTTGCCTTGGATTAGATCCAAATCTGGGCCAACACCATGCTGTCAGTCTTGTGAAACCCTGAGCAGGGAGTCTAGCTACCCCGTGCCCAGACTTTGGACCCATGGAAGCCTGAGAGATAACGTGTGCTATTTAAGCTGCTAACTTTTGTGGTGCTTTGTTGTACAGTGAAAGAAACGGATACCGCAATGTTCCAAGATAAATCTCCTTTTGGAAAGCATATTTCTGTGTTCTTTCAAGGCCCCCGTGTGGCCCACGGCATTCTACTGTGTCCTGAATGGTTGATATTGTTTCTGGTCCATCTTATGAACTTATCTTAAATCTAACCTCCCAGGTCTCTATCTTAAACCACTTACTACGGTTCCCTTGCTCTAGCATTCCCTGGGTCTGTGGAAGCCACGCCCCTTTGCCCTCCCTAATCTCGTGAGTGCAGTCCACTCCAGTGCTGACTTTTCTGTCCTGCCATGGTGCACAACTCCAGTCGGAGCTCTTTGCCTGTAGACACTTTGAAGTGTGGGCACCTGGGAGAGGCAGCCACTGCTGGAGAGGTGGGGGAGAGAACCCCTTCCTCCCATCCACCATTCTCCCACCAAGGAGAGACCAAAAGATGTACTGGAGTGCAAAATGACCAATCAAACGATGGTAGCTCAAACATGAAGCAAAATACTGTTCGTCTCACATGTAAAAACTGAGTGATCAAATTTGAGTAGCTGCTCATAAGGATGAATAATTTTGACCTTTATTGTATGAAGCTACAAATTTTATTTCATGAGGCAAAAAGTTATATAGTCAACCATCCATGCTTAGTCTAGGCTGAGCATTGTAAGTCAATCTCCGGCATTTTCATTTATAGGCAAGAAAAGAAGTGAGAAGTTGGTGCCACAGACATTAATTGAGTAAGTATGAGTTGCCTAAAAAATACACCATAAGTTCTAGAAGTAAAGAATGACAATGTATTGATATACCAAGAAATGACGTGGATAATTTCTTGTATTCTATACAATTATAAGTCCACTGACACAAATGCAATGCCCTTTCTGTTTCTCTATTTTGTTAAAATTGGTACACATAGATAGATACACAGAACATGACGGGGGTATACACGTCCGTTTCTGGCTCCCAGGCTATGACCTTGAGGAAGTGACAGCTTCTCTGGGTCTCAATTTCTTCAAATATAAATAGAGATAATAAAATCTACTTCATAAGGTTATATTGAGTTCTCTGAGGAAAGTATGGGGGAAATACTCACAAATGACAAGGTACTCCACAAGTTTGTAGTGGTAGTATCTGATTAGGCTCTTAGGCACCTTCGAATCTTGATTTTAAAATCAATAAAAAATAAGCAAAGAAACAAAACAAGGGGAGAAAGAAACCGGAATGATTCTGAGACTCGCTCACGGTGTTACTTGGGTAAAGCCACCCAATTTCTCTTGCCCTCCTTTGAAAGTCCAGGCCCGCTTCCAAGACTGGAGGAGGGCCCATCGGGTTCAGCTGACCTTCCGTCGGCAACAGAAAAAGTTCAGCCTGCAGTGTCCAACAGGCTTCTCATCCTCAGCACACATCTTCCTGCACTTGCCCCGGCCGAGCCTGCATGGCTCACAAGCAGCAAAGTCACCTACGCCAGAAAGATCTGCTGACACACCTGTCCAGGGACTCCCTGGACGTGGGGAGAACATCAAAGGCCACCCAAATAAGGGAGGGTTTATATGGTCATAAAGAGTGTTTTTAAGAGCCAGCCCTGATTTTTCAAAGAGCTCTGCTTTTCTCAGGATGGAGATGGGGAGACTTAATTTTGAAGCAAGAGGTTGGCACATTCTTTGTTCTTCATGTGTTTATAACCTGGCCTGTGTCACAAGTAAAGACAGTGGGGCCAAGTGTCGTGTATATTACAGAAGCATAAAAATACATACCTGATACTTCTGTAAAGGTTACAGGATAAAGATTAGAGGGTTATCTTGTGGTTTGAAAAGATCCTTGAAGGTAGAGGTGAAGTTCGGTGCGGTTTTTTTTTTGGGGGGGGGGGGTCTGGAAATGGTGTGTGTCCTCTGCAAACTGCCTGATCTCAACTTTCTCATTTGTCAAATGAACATTCTAGAAACACTTGTCTACACTGTAAATTCTTTTAGTGGTCAAATGGAGTAATTCATGTGAGAACATTTTGCCAAACACTATTTAGTCAATTAGCTGTTTTTTGCTGTTGTTACTTTAAGCAAAAGCTGTTTTACATGATCACAAAAAAAATTTTTCAGGATAACTTTCACGGACCAGGGAGGTAGTGCCTTCACCAGCCAAGAGTCCTTTATTTGCTGGTCTGGTTCTCCAGTGGCAACCTTTATGTTGCAACCCCTTATTTTCTTTCCTGTTAACTACCTTCTTGTCAGTAACCCAGAGCTACATGGAACCTTACAGGTTGGTCTCACTACGACAACCACTCACTGGGCTCCTTGACAGCTTATTTCCCCATCCTCAGTGGCTACTTAGGATTTTATGTTCCCTGTCTCATCAAAGAAGACATTTCCTCCCTCTCCTTCCCTCTCACATCATGGCTCAGTGACATGCCCAGAGTTGGTCCATTCCTGGACTGCGTTATATCACCTTGATGCTGGATCTCCTCAGGTTGCCCACCTAACTTCTGAACACCAACCCAAGAGCTGTTTGTGCTCATGCTAATTGCTGCTTGCTTTGTGCTGAAGCTTGCCAGGGGGCATGGGGATGGATGTGATTATCCAGTTGGTTCTACGAAGTCCACCATTAGAGTCAGATCTGTTCCTCAGGCTTCTCTCTAGTAAAGCCCAAGTCCGCATCACATGTCTCTTCTGCCAGACGTAGTGCACTCATCACAACTTGTGATAAGAATTCCTACTGGCTCTGAAACAAAGCCCCCGATGACTTTTATTCCAACCTGCTTTGATTGGGGGCAAGGGCAGACACAAGCTAACATTCTACTGAAGGCTTCCTGAGAACACTGAAAAACCAGTGCCCTGCTTCCTCGCCACACAACAATTCAACTCCTTGTTCATGTCTAGCTGCTGATTTTATCATTTTCTCCTTCTGAGTTCCAATCTTCTTCCTTACCTGGAAACTTCTGGGTGAGCAGCCATCCACCTTGTTTTCCCAGCTTATGTGAGTTCCACCCGTCTTCACTCAGATGATGCCCCAGCCCGTTTTACCTCCTGAGCCTTGCATTACCGAGGCAGGGAGGAATCAGCGTTTTCAGCCCTGGAACCAGGTAGGATATGGACTTATGTTGTGTTTCTAATCTGACCTACGCTTCGGAATGCCAGGGAGAGTCTCTAGATGCCCATTTGCTGCCAAATTAGAACACCCATTCTCCTGCTAACCCGCTCTGGCTGTGTTTATATGCAGCGCTTACGAGCAATGGGCGGAGTGATTATTTATGACAGCATCTGCTCTTTTCAGGCAGGGTGTGGTCTGACCATTCAGTGCCTTGCCGTCTGTTGAGGATTTTGTATGCCACCTCTGCTCAAGGCTATTGCTGGATGCTTTCCTACCTGGTTGGGAATCACAGAATTCAGACTTTGTGACTCTGGCATCCTGAGTTGGAAGCCTAGCTTACCACTTGTCATTCTGTCACCCAGGGACAATTATTTAACGTCTCATCCATGTCCCAGCTTCATCGTCTTGTATAAGACAGCAGTTACAATATCACCCACATCCTAGGGACGTTTTGAAGGTTAAATGACATAATTGACATAAAGTTAATAGACCGCCTGGTGCACGGGAACTGCTCAGTGATGAGTAGAACCTCAATTGTTTCTCACTCCAAAATGCTGTCTAAACACTTTTAAATTCTGTTTGCAATTCTCTGGAGATATTTCTTTCGGTTGTGTTTATAATACGCATTCTTCCTGCAGAAGATAAGTATGCAAAGAGATCAGGGGGTGCTTCAAGGGGCACAGCTCTTCTGTATTGGCGGTGAGATTTCACCACTCCTTTATTTGATCCTTCTGAGACCAGTAGCATAGGCTGGGACACCTCTTACTGGGTTTAGGGGCAGAGCCTGTAAGACGTGGGTGAGCATGTTCTCAGAGCAGTGCTTCTTGGCCGGTACAAGCCTGATCCTGTAACCTTGCTTTCATCAGCACCACAAGCTAATGACAATAGGTCATTACCAGGTGCAAATCTCTGTAGCCAAAATTCCAATTCAGTAACTAAGAGATTTCCCTGCGAGATAAAAAACCCAGATATGATGCTGGCTACAAGAGGCAGAAATCTGGGGTTTCAGGCAACTCGATTCTTCTGATTATTTCTATCACACCTTGCCTCCAGAAGTCAGAGGGAGCTGACAGGTCAGAGGTCTTAAAAGTAGAAATTACACACAGGGGATTCAACTTACCTCCTGGAAGTGGCTTGGAATACTCGAGTCCTGCCTGGCACCCTAAATTCAAAATAGCACATTTTGGATTTTAAAGTCAGTGCAGGACATAACACTGTACAAAACAACATTCCTGGCTCCACACATCTGCTGTCAAAGGTCAGCAGATCACAGAGGCTGTATCTTTATTCTATTTCTGAAGGCTAGCACTCTGGGTAACCAGTAAGAAGTTTAATAAAAAGGTCGGGGGTAGGTGGGAGAGGGAATTGTAGTTTGCTGAGAAAATGCCACTGTAGATTCAAGAAATTCTCGTGAGGACCTCAGTGGGGAGCTGACTGTTAATCTCGATTTTACGGTGGCCCACAGAAGAACCATCAGGCTTTAAGAGCTGCCCCCATCGCGATCCCATCCATTTGCAATTACCTGACGGAAACTGGGCGAAAATGAAGAAAAAGGCGAAGACAGCATAAGACATCTTCCCGGTCAGGGTCATTTCTGGGGAAGACTCTTCGGAGCAGAGGTCTGGGACCTGTGCGAGAGGACAGGAGGCTCACTTATATTTGAAAGTAATGGGGAATACACTTGGTCAATGAAGTGAATCAATAAAGAAAGCACATTGACATGCTCCGTTTCCTAGGATCAAGGACTGGCATGATGGGAGGACCTGGATTCTGGGAATTCTGGCTGGGGCAGTGGAAGGAACACGAGGCCAGGAGCTAGAAAACCAGGAGCCACGCACTGATCCTACTGATGCAGGATGTAGGAGCCTGCTAGCCCCCCTTCTCTCTCCCAGCTCCACTGTCTCTTCCATTGACTAAGGAGCAGCCATAGTGATTGCCAGACGCAACACGCCCAGAGCTGGTCCTTTCCTGAGCTGCGTTCCATCACCTGGAGGCTGGATCTTCACCTTGAGGCTGGATCTTCTCAGGTTGCCCACCTAACTTCTGAGCACCAACCCAAGAACTGTTTGTGTTCATGCTAATTGCTGCTTGCTTTGTGCTGAAGCTTGCTGGGCGGATGGGGATGGCTGTGCCTATCCACTTGGTTCTTTGAAGCCCACAGCTCCTCTGCCAGTCTCTTAGGGTTGTTGTCAAGCTGTAGGGATGAGGATATGGATGTGCTTGGAACATAGGGAAGTGCTTGGAAAGAAGCCTGGTGCCCTGTAAGAAAAGCCCAAGCCATGTGCACTGTTACTGCCCTGGTTTTCATTTGTACTACCTTCACACAAGAAAGGGGGGTGGTTAATCTCAATTTTATGGTGGTCTGGGAGAAAAGGGGGGGGTGGTAGTCATTTTACCAACTTAGCTCTGAATCCCCGAGCCTGTGACAATGTCAACTAGCAGCCCAAAGGCAGAATTTCCACATCCTTTTCATTCATCAAGAACACGGGTATCAAAATTACTACTTATATCCCTGCACCCCCAAATAAGTCCCATCCTGTTGTCCATGCTTCTGCAAGGCTCTGTTCTTCATCTTGGGAATGCAAAATAGGATAACTGAATGAGGAAGGCTGCGGTCAGACAGAGCGGGTTAGCAGATGTATGACCTCGGGCAGGTGGCTTACTTTGTTGAACTTGTCTCTTCATCTTACAATGGGGACGGAATAAAGGTACATACTTCATAGGATATTTAGAAGGACTCACTGAAATGAGTATTAAGTGGCTATCAGTGTGTCTGGCTATTATTACCAGCCTTACATTCACATGTCTGTCTATCCTGCTTTGCGTCCAACTTTTATGTAAATTCTTTTTCAAGTACACGTGTCACTCACAGTGAACTTTTTCTGGCCTGGAAAGTGCAGCCATGCTGATATCTGCACGTTTGTTTCTGTGGCCTTCAAACGAGGCAGCTTCATGAACATAAGGCAATACGTAGGTACTAGGGGATGAGAGCTGAGCCTAACAGCCTCAGCCTTCAGCTTCCAGGCATTTTTAATAACCTGGAGCCAGGCCAAGTATGAGGAGGGCAGCTGCACACCCCTGTTCTTACCTTGGGGTTTAATGCTCAGCACTCACTGTATTGCAATTCTTAATAATTTTATCTTTGAATATGTGCTCTGTAAATCAAATCTGGTCGGAATAGGAGCAAGTCTGGGACCTTAGAGCCTCAGTCCCCATATGATATGCCTTCCTTCCCCTTCTCACCTTCTTGGGGGTTCCTGGCCCCTGGCCCTGGGGGCCCCACCCAACCTCCTCCTTTCCTATCCCTCCCAGAAACACTGCCACCACCGACCCCCAGCTCGTACTGAGTGGAGATGTATCTAGAGATGGGATGGCAGTGTCTTAGGGCCCAGCATGCCATCAAACCCTCCCGTGCCATGACCGTGCCGTGGTGTAGGCGGGCAACCTGGCAGGAGCAGACCTCTCTCCAGCCCCCAATTCAATACGGATTGCTTGCAGAAGATATTGACATATCTTTGAGAGTTGCCCAGCCACCATGGATGGCAGTGGCAGGCTCATGGGGGAAACACCTGGCTTGACTCTCTCTGGAGCAAGACACGCCAGTCCAGCAGTGGCTGATGGTGGACCACACACGTATGCGCAGTGGCAGTGTGGGGATCCCCAGGCAGTGTGAGCATCTGCAAGTGTCCTTCAAGTATCTTTGTGCCTGGGAGATTGTGACATTAAATAGCAAAGAAGCATTACTATGACAGATGGAGAGAACTAGATACCTTTAATGGCGCCTTTTTCCTACTTCTTGAACATGGGCCCTTGCACGTTATGTAGCTGATCTTGACCTGGAGTGGACTTCTAGTCTTAGGAAAACAAGATGACTCTAGAAACTTTCAAATTAAAGGGCTAGTCCTTGTCATGGGGATTGCATGGCCTCCTTGCTCCATCATGAGGCCAGAGATGCCCCTATAGAGTGGTCCCTACCATGCTCACTTCTGTAGCTCAAAGCCTCCTGCTCCAAACTCAAATCCTTCCATATCCAATTGCTTTGAATATGGTACAAATCATCATTTGTTTAGCCATTTAGAGCCTACCTGCTTTGCACATCCCCCACAAAAGTGCCCCCAACATCTGCTAACATAGATAAGACAAATCCCAGAGCTGTAAGACTCCAAATTGCTGACAGCCTTCTAGGGCTTTGATCCTGAGACTTCTCACCTTACTGGTGAGAGGTATCATCTAGACTCATGAGCCCCTGTCTGGCACCCCTCTCCCCTGGGAGTTCCATGGCCCTTTGGGGTGCGCGCCTCATGCTACCTTCTCTGGGAGGCCCATCCCCTCATGCAGCCCTATCCACGTACCACCTGATTAACACCTCTCATGGTTCTACCTCTTCCCTGAGCAGCCCTCAAACCCTGGGACTCACCACACCCCATCCTTGGAATTCGCCCACTCAAAGTTATCTGCCCTCCTCACAGTGAGGTGTGAGTAGGACACATCTTAGCTCTTACAACGTTGCACATCCCTTGGGACAGTTAGTTGGCTATTTGTGAGTGCTCACACAAAATTACATATGCCATGCTCTGAATGTCTGTGTCCCCCTCAACATTCATGTTGAAACCTAATCCTCACGGTGATGATGTTTGGAGATGAGCCTTTGGGATGTGATTAGGTCATGAGAACAGAGCCCTCATGAATGGGATTAACACCTTTATAAAAGGGGCCCCTGAGAGCTCCCTGTCCCCATCCCTCAAAGGAGGACACAGTGAGAAGTTAGCCATCTGCAACCCAGAAGAGGGTCCTCACCAGCACCCGGCCATGCTGGTGCCCGGTCTTGTATTGCAGCTTCCAGAACTGTGATAAATGTTGTTTATAAGCTACTGAGTCTGGGGTGTTTGGCTATAGCAGCTCAAACAGACTGAGACACCATATGCTGAGAGGAAGACAAAGAATCCCAAGCAGGATCCGTGCTGCCAGCCCAGAGCCTGATGCAGGGCTCGATCTCACAAACCATGAGATCATGACCTGAGGAGAAATCAAGAGTCTGACACTTAACCAACTGAGCCACTCAGGCTCTCCTAAATTTTTTTAAGTGAGTATTGGAAGGGAATAGAAAAAAATTTGTATATTCAGCCTATCATTCTTTTTTTTTAATGTTTTATTTATTTTTCAGAGCAAGAGAGAGACAGAGTGTGAGCAGGGAGGGGTAGAGAGAGAGGGAGACACAGAATCCAAAGCAGACTCCAGGCTCTGAGCTGTCAGCACAGAGCCCAACGCGGGGCTCGAATCCACAAACTATGAGACCATGACCTGACCCCAAGTCTGACACTTAACCGACGAGCCACCCAGGTGACCCTCAACCTATCATTCTTCACTGGATTTTTCATATAAGAATATATAATCAACACACACACACACACACACACACACACACACACACGTACACATACATACACACACCTCACAAAAATCTCATGGTGATTGAGGCTAAGGATACATGGAACATTCCCGCATAGTTATTTTACGCAAATTGTTTAATTGAGAATAATTTAGAAAATCTGCACAGTGGAGAGTTCTCACATACCCCTCCCCCAGCTGCCCCTGATGTTAACATTCATGCTAATAATTATTAATAGTATGACCACGATGCGTTTGTCAAAACCAAGAAATTATCATTGGTATGTCATATTCCTACTGACTACCCTACAGATTTTGAGTTTGTCTGAGGTTTTCTCAACCAGACTGGGGTTTGGGGTCTGGGAGAAGAATAACACAGGGTTGAAGCTCCTCACCTTGTCCCTCGTGTCAGGGGAATGTGCTGGGGACATGCCTGGCCACCCCTGATGTTAAACCTGGCCACTCATTTAAGATGCCAGCTTTGTCCGCGCTAAAGGGACGCTCTTGCCTCCCCACATTCTTTGGAATTAATCGCCTTCATTCAAGTTGGAGGACTCAAGCCTCACCTCCTGGAGGGAGGTGTCTACTGGGACCATCTGCAATTCTTCTGTTAAAAATGTGTCCCTTTTATCACAGTTATTTGTGTGTTCAATCATTTATTGACATTACTATGGCAGGAGGAAGTAAATTGATGGTCTTATCCAGGTCACATTCACAAACCGTGTTTTCAGTTACACGGCAAGCATTTGGTTGCTTTTCGGGAGTTTGTGATTATTCTAATAATATTTTAAGATATTTCAATTTTCAGTAGCAATAATAATAGGGAGAATGATGATGAGTGAGGCTCATCTCCCTAATGTCACATTAAAGAGAAGTATTTCCCAACAGGGAAGAATTAGAGTGGGTAATTCAGGCCTTTCTCTCCATCCACTTAGCTGATTTACTTCAGATTAGGAAAAAGAGATAATCAAATTAGTGGCAGCCTGTGGTCAGAGTGTATGGATATTTGATGTATCTATAGTCTTAATCAAATATCAAATATCCCATATGCTCATAACTATCCAGGGAGCTGTTTGCAGATTAAATAAGATGATGTATATAGTATTTAAAGTATCAGCACTTTTTAAAAAATAAACAATAGGGGCGCCTGGGTGGCGCAGTCGGTTGAGCGTCCGACTTCAGCCATGTCACGATATCACGGTCCGTGAGTTCGAGCCCCGCGTCGGGCTCTGGGCTGATGGCTCGGAGCCTGGAGCCTGTTTCCGATGCTGTGTCTCCCTCTCTCTCTGCCCCTCCCCCGTTCATGCTCTGTCTCTCTCTGTCCCAAAAATAAATAAATGTTGAAAAAAAATTAAAAAAAAAATAAAAAATAAACAAAAAAACATATGTTTCAGTAAAGGCACTTGCCAAATGTACACAGCTCACAAATATTGGAGCTGGAATTCAGACTCCACTGACTCCATCATGATATTATGTAATTACTCTGATTTTACATACGAGTGAACCAAAGCTATTAAGGAGCACAGTCAGGATTAGAAATCCAAACTGCCAGATTCCAGATCTTTCTTCCTACTGGTGCATATATCTGCCCCTGATCACCAAGGCACCCTCTACTCTGTCTTCCCTTCTTCCCCATTGTCCTTCTTAGGAACTTTCCAGTATCAGAAAAGCAGTGAGCTGCGGACTGAGTGACACCCACTGAGATGTGGGCTCGGCTTGGCAAAGCATGGAAACGTCCTCATTTCTGGCATGCCTCGCTGATCAAGATGTTCTCTGGTCTAGAGAAATGTATAAATGTGGGTGTTTCCTGCTCTTTTATCATGGACGCTGTGCTGATCTCTCAAGACCCTTCGAGACATGAGGACATTCCTCTTTCTCTTTGCTGTTCTCTTCCTTCTGGCCCCAGGTAAAATGAACGTCTTTGTAGGGAAGGTTCTAGAGGTGGTGGCCCAGAGAAAGAGTCTGCTTCAGTGAGCACCTTGGTGTGGTCAGCCTGGTGGCCCTGCAGGGGAGCATTTACTATGGGAGGTGACCCCCCTAATGTCTCTTCTATAAATCCATTGCATTTTCCCTGATTGTCTAAGATGGGGAATCACGGGGTTGAGGAAATAAGGATATGCCAGGAAAGATGCCCTTTGGTCCCCAGCTCCATGCTCACTAACAAAAACAAAAAATTGGGGGAAAAACGTAAAAGCTAGGGTTGGCATCTGTGGATCTTGTAAAAAATAGTCGTGATAGAGATGAGACAGATAAGAAAGAGAGCCAGAAAAAGGCAAAAAGGGACGAGGAAAGGGACGGAGCTCGGACACCGCGTTCACGCCGGCCATGGCGCAGGTCAAACGTGCGTGTCAAACTGCTGCTCCTTCGTCACAACACCATGAAGCTGGGCACTTGTGACGAACACTTCACACCACAAAATGCATGCGGTTCTCCAATGCCAGGACCTTTAAGAGAACTCTGTCCTACTTCGAATTTAGTGATTTCAGACCAACACTTCAGGCTTGGAAGGTTTGCTTTATAGATATTTTTCAGATGCAGAAACTGAGCCTCAGATGGGCTAGGCGGCTTCTCAAAGTCATACAGATAAGCGGGAATGAAGCCAGGACCTGAGAGTTCACAGCAGGACTCCTGCCACATCCTCTGGCTCCCAGGAACCTCTAGTGGCTCCAGTCAGATCTTCCTCAAAATAAAATCCAAGACTAGACTCATCCCAGTTTCCAGAGAGCTAGAGAAAGGGCTTTTCAGAGCCTGCAACGAGTCCAAATTGTGCCAGATGCTATAGATGTCTCCTTAGGAGGCTCAGAATTCTCACACCAGCTGTATGCGTTGCTGGTCTGTTTTGCAGTGAGCCTGTGTGGTTCGATTCTGTGCCAAGTGCACCGGGATCCAGGACCTACGGTGAGCTGTTCATTCCACTGACCTCGATGTACACATTGGAAACTGACCAAGGCCCCCTTTTCAGATCAGTCAGGTTTATTATATAATTTAGTTAACACAATATAAAATAAGGCAATATAAAATTATATAAGCAAATGGAACTGACCTATTAATATGCATTTGCACGCACGCACACACACACACACACACACACACACACAGAGTTACATTAACCTCTAGATGGGTGTGTGTGATGATCCATCCGAATCCTTGTAGACACAGATGCTCTCTCTTTGCAGAGGCTCTCTCTTTCTGGACCATCACTGTTAACTGGATATAATACAAGGACCCTTGTGAAGAGTGAGGTCCAGTGCCTCCAGCCTGGGATGACCTTACAATATTAGGAGGGGGGATAGAGTACTGTCCCCTGCAGTGGGGGCCAAAGTTCACTGAGCTTTGCAACACCGGAGTATTGATACTTATGAACTTATATGCAGATGCTAGAAATGATTAGTACACATGCTAATACCAATCCGCCTGGTTTTAGTTTTACATATATGTGAATTAGTCACCTTTGTTTGTCGACATTAATTTCAATTTGTGTACATCTGATGCCTGTCCTTAAATATACCTGGATTAGGTAATCGAAAATGTTGATTCCAGTAAGATGTCTGTCTCTCCTTAACTTGAAGCGGGCTGCTCTTAGGACGGCTACTGATAAAGTACTAAGGCCAAATCCACTATATTCTGCACAGAATAGACAAGAGGAGTCCTGGGGAATCACTCCCAACACATGCCCCTACTGGCCCTTGAACACGTTTTATGAAATGTGGCAAAGAAATCTGATGAGCCTTTCTAGGCAATCTTTTCCCTTCCACCCACAAGAGTAAACTTTTCCCTTTCTATATATTTATCCCTGTTTATTACTCCAACCGTGGGCCATGTCCCCAGCCTCAGACCTGCTCAATTCTCAGGGTGTAACACTTGGACAGCGAGTTGGGGAGTTACCTGCCCTGGAGGGGTTTCCAAGGGCAAGGTGGTCATTACGTACCGCTAACAGATTCTGATAAAAGAACAATAGCTTCTGCTTCCCAAAGCCCCCACAGCCTAACCCCAAATGTCAAGACAAACGTATTCTTCCTGGTCGTTAACCCCCTAAAACAAAAAGACAGAAAAATTGGAGAGAAAATATCTCCGTACCATCTCATCTACTGGCGGGATGAGACCACGGCAGCTTGTAAAGAAATCTTTCCTAACTAGTTACAAGACTGTACCTGGTAAGTGGATGGATCTGAGAGGAGAATTAATCCCAGTGGCTCCTTGCCTTCCATAGCCAGGAACGCGTTTTTTGACGAGAAATGCTCCAAGCTTCAAGGGAGGTGCGTGAATTCTTGTCAGAAAAATGAAGAACTCGTTGCTCTCTGCCAGAAGTCTCTGAAATGCTGCCTGACCCTCCAGCCATGTTGGAAGAACACAAATGATTGAATCTGAAGGCTCTGGCATTCCAGAGTGACACACATGACCGCATCTTGTCTTCTTTTTACTCTGGTCTCTTCAGTGAGAAGGCACCTCAATAAAAATAAATGACTATCGGGGCGCCTGGGTGGCGCAGTCGGTTAAGCATCCGACTTCAGCTCAGGTCACGATCTCGCGGTCCATGAGTTCGAGCCCCGCGTCGGGCTCTGCGCTGATGGCTCGGAGCCTGGAGCCTGCTTCCGATTCTGTGTCTCCCTCTCTCTCTGCCCCTCCCCCGTTC